TTATTTTTTTAATATTTTTGCATTTTAAAAAAGTAAATCAGAGCTGAATAAATGCAAAAATACAAGCAAATTTGCTTGCGTTAGCCTATAATCTAAGAGATAAGAATAGATTATACATTAAAAATAAAATTACTCAAGATAGATTATAAGTTGCATAACTTAAAATTTTTAAATCTAATTTAGATTACAGAATACTTGGTTACTTTTTTTTAGTTCCTATGTATTTTGTTCTTTTTATTATATTACTGCTTAATAAAGTTTTTATAACTTGAGACAAGTTTTTCTTTGTTAGTAAATTTAATACTTTTAGATTAATAGTAATTTTTTTATTATTATTAATACTACTTTCTTAACCAATTAGATTTTATTAGTTTGTTTTACAGAACTATTATATAAATAGTTTTCTAAAGTTTTATAGTTATATAATGAGTATATAACAAATTATATATATAACTTTAGTCATTATCTAATCTAAGTAGTCTGTCATATAGATAATCAACTATCTGTTAGTTCTACACTATGCTACTATACTTGCAACCTGCTTATGAGTTATCTATTTAAACACTCTGATCATTAATTCTTTCTTCTATCCCAAACTAATATCACTACTATATCTGATTACTTAAACTAGCTAACTTATATATAGATCTATTTATTATATAGCTTAGGTTCTTTCAAGATACATATTGCCTAATATATTGTGAATACGCAAAGCTCTGATTAACCTCAGAACTAATTCCTACCAGAGTAGTCATATACTCATTTTACAGATTTACTTAGATTAGACCTTTGTTAATGTTTGTATAAACCCAGTTCCTGCTATAGCTCTCTACTAGATATAGTTCTTTAAGTCCTAATTAGATATTTTATAAAGTAGATCCTTCTAATCTAGTTAGCTACTAAGCCAAGTTGGTCTTGCTACTAATACAAGGTACTAAACTAGTTACATAGTAAACTTACTCATATCTATTGATCATATATCCTTTGTACTCAGATTTTTCACTAGATCAAGTATTAACTAGCTTAACCATCAAAATTCATACTACTTCACCAAACTCTAGATTTCTACTATACAGATCCTCTACTCTTAGATTCTATCAAAAGATTTATTTATGCAATATAATTCGAATATTGTATTATACTTTTAATATCTAATTGATATTAGTATAATGTGATTTACAGAATTGTAACCTACAGAAACAAACAGAGTTTACTGTAAGTTAAGTACAAAAGTCTAGGTAATTATTCAAATTTGTTAACAGTAGGATTTGAATCCTAGACCTCTTGCATAACAGTTTAACAATCTAACCACTACACTAAGATTACTAGATCTTAAGTAATATTTTTTATTTTTTCTATCTTGAGATTAGATATTAACTACTTATAGTTTAGTATTAATTAGATTAAAAAGAACCTAAAATCTTGATAAGATCTAAAATTACTTTTACTGATTCAAAGATAATATCTTTTTAAGAAAAGTTACTACAAGAAAAAAATAGTTTCTGTAGCAGATTGTATTTGAGTACTATTTGATAACTGAGTGAATTTTGAATTACAAAAGAAGAAATATAATTATAGTTTAGTTTTAGAATTTTTATAATTTATATCTTGTATATTTTTTTTTTTATTTTTTTATTTTTAAGGTAGCTTTATATTACCAGGCGATTTTTATTAGTTTGATATATGAGATTACATATAGGTAATCTTTACAGTTTGTAATTACATAAAGAGTGTATAACAAGCCACATGTATAACTTTAGTCATTATCTAATTTAAATAGTCTGCTACACAGGCAATAGACTACCTGATTAGTTCTACACTATGCTACTATATCTGTAACCTGCCTGTGAGTTACCTATTTAAACACTCTGTTTAACTAACCCATACTGTTACAAACTAACATTACTATAATACCTAACTACTTAAGCCAGCTAGCTCATTACAGATCTATTTTTCAACACTAGCTTAGGTCCTCTTAGGATACTTATTACTTAATATATTATGAGTCCGCAGAGCTCCAGTTAACCTCAAAGCAAACCTACTAAAGCAGCTTGTACCTATTTCATGAAATCACCTAGCTTAGACCCTTGTAGATGTTTATATAACCCTAGTTCCTACTGTAGCTCTCCACTAGTTTTCTGTATCTATCTTCTTAGATATTTCATAAGATAGATCCTCCTAATCCAGTTAGCCACCAAGCCAGATTGGTGTTATTAGTTTTCTCTGTGGAATGGATTTATACGCACTCGACTCGATCTGCATCTTTTGATAATAGTTTTCTTTCTGGATCAAGTGTTAGCTAGTGTGACTATTAAAAGCCGTACTACTTCACTAACTCAGGATTTCTACTATACAGATCCCCTGCCTGTAGATCCTATTAAGATATATTCATATAATATTACACACTTCGTCACATTTTCAATATCTGAATGATATTGGTGCAATATAATTTACAGGGTTACAACCTCAAAAACAGACAGAGTTTACTGTAAGTTGAGTACAAAGGTTTAAGTAATTATTCAAATTCGTCAACAGTAGGATTTGAACTCCAGACCTCTTGCATAGTGGTCTGGCAACCTAACAACTACATTAAGATCACCAGACCTTATATCTTGTATATTTTTTTAATATTTTTTCTAATAAATAATAGATAAGATCACTCAAATAGAAAAAAAATATATTATAATTAAATCTTTTATTTTTGATCTCTATTAGATTTAAAACAATAGAAGATTTTTGTATTTTTTTTGCTAATTAGACTACCTTAATGTTTTACTTATTTTTTATATTATCTTTAACTTTTTTTAAATCTAATTTTAAATAATCTTTTCTAAAATTATTCTATTATTAATCTTAAAATATTTGTTATATTATTCAATTTTATAAGTTTTTGCTATATATATTCTTTATTATCTATTTACTATTTATAAAAACTCTAACTATTAAATTATATTATGATATTAATAATACTAGCTAAACTTCTATCAATTCTGTTTTTATTAAAATTAGCTAGTTAACAACTTTTAAATTTCTTATACCAACTTTACTATTCTCTATTCTATCTATCTTTATTCATCTAATTTCAATATATTCTTTATCTTTATCTTTGCTTAATAACCTAATTATATAAAATATTATTTTTTTTTTAATATTTATTACTACCTCTTATACTTTTTCTCTTAATATTGATATTATCTTTTTATTAAAATTTTGTATCTCTACTATTTTAAATTTACAACTTTCTATTACTTTTAGTTTTGCAAAAAATCTATTCATTACTATCTTTTTTTTGCTATTCTTCACTTTCTACTATTGCTTTTAGTAAAAAATATTAGAAAAAATAAAAAAAAAAGCAAAAAGTAATTAAAAAATACAAAAACTATTTAAACTATAAAAAAAAAAAGATTACAAAGCCTAGTAATATAAAAATAAAATATTACAAGCAATTTCAAAAAATTGTATAAACAAAAAGATAATAGTAATAGAATATATAATTATAAGTAGCATTATTTAATTAATAATATAAAGGTAGTAAAACGTCATTACTATTTTTAAAAACATTACAAGAGTAAAATTTCACTGATAATAAATTATTTACTCGTGTATTAAATTTCTTTGATTAAATTCTTTTCAATAATCACACCAAATCACATGAATATTTTCCAATACTATATAACATGTAACTATAACAGGCAAACCGGATTATCCTGATAACTTTTAATAATCGATTTTGTACCCGACTAATGGTCTTATAAATTTGGTGAGTAACCTGGAATTAAAAATTCTACTGGGCCTAATCTCTAGATATAGGAGAGTATTTAATAGTTAAGAGCGAAGATTATCTCTAGACTAAAATAATTAGTAATAAGCAATTAGAATTAGCGTTTGTAGGAAAATTAAAGTAATGCAAAATATGAATATTTCAAAAAAAAAAAAAAAAAACTAGTGTTCATCGGAAAAATAATGCAATATACGAATATTTCAAAAAAATATTATTACCGTTAAGAAGTCAAAGATCCCGACACAGATTTAGATCGCTTTCGGAAATTTCCGATAGTAAGATTTCCTAATGACAACGAAATTTTACGAATTTTCTTTTTTAACCGATCCTAGAAATATTTTTGTAGTTAGTATTTTTTTTTTAGTTCTTTAGTCACACCAACAGTACATCAAAGATAAAAAGACCGTACTATCAAGGTGTAAGCGCTTTTAACTTCCTCTTCAGTAACAGTAAGCGCTTGATACTTCATTGGATCAGTATCATCACGCCATTTCTGTGGATTTGATAAGTCAGCGATTACCCAAGGATGCATCTAAAAAAGAATAAAAATAAAATAAAATAATAAATATAATATATATAATTTTATTTTTGATATCGAAGAAACCAAAATATTTTTGTTACTAACTTTGACATCCTCCAGAGTGATCCTTTTTTGCGGATCCTTTTCCAATAACCTTGAAAGTAAATCTTTTAAATCGTCTGAAATAGGTATATCATCAGGAAATTCCAATGGTTGCCTAGGTATAACATGAAAAAATAATTCAAATTCCGTATCTGCTATAAAAGGACATCTTCCGAAAATGAAGCAATATAGTGTGACACCAAGGGCCCAGACATCGATTGCTTTGGTAATAGGAGGTCGTTGTCCTCGTATTGATGAATTGGTAGTTGAATGGGATCTCGAAAGCGATTCAAGAGAAGAATTACCAGAATTACCAGTTGCTATCGAAGTAGAAGTTATATCCCGTGACAAATCGCCTGGATAAAATAAATAATTTTTTTAAAAAAAATAAAATAAATAATAAATTAAATTAAATGAAATTTGAAAGACTTACCGGGAAAACACAGCTCTGGAGCAAAAAATGCGGGACTTCCTGCGGTTTTAATTAAGCCCATATCCTCTTGAGTAGATGAAGAATTATTACTCCCTTGTAATTCGACTGTAGCTGAACGCTGACTGAAATGTGATACACCAAAATCCGAGATTTTTACAACGTTTTTAGCAGTGAGTAATAAATTGGCAGGTTTTATATCTCGATGTATAATTCCTTGATGATGAACTAAAAAAAAAAAAAAAAAAAAAGGAATAATGAATTTAATGCAATTCAACGAAACTAATTATTTATTAAATATAATTTTTACTCACGATATTCTAAACCCAACACTACATCCCTAAATATCTGTCTTGCCTTATCAACACTCATAACAGGACAGTCATGTTCATCCTTCCATTGTATTTCACCACCTTCCATATATTCTATAACTAACAAATTATAACCCGATTTGAAAAATAAATTATTAAAGAAAAGAAAGTAAAGTATCTATGAATTTAAAAGGATCCCAAAGTTTTACTACAAACCCACAGAGAAAACCAGATCTTCAAGACGATAAATAAACATACCCATATAAATTTTTCTACTCATTGGATCATCAATAACCTCTTTCAATCTAACAACATGTGGGTGAACGCATTTTTTTAGTATTGCGATTTCTTTTCTAATTTTTTGCTCATTAGTGAGATCATTATTTCGTGAGCCCAAGCGGGGTCGGGTAACTCTATCAACGATTTTAATGGCCTTTATTTAAATTAAGATAATAAATAAGCAAAGGAATTACAGGAATTTTGATAAAATTTCTATAAAAATTATTAGATTAATTAATACTCACAACCAACTCTCCCAACTCCATGTCTTTTCCTAATTTGACCTTCCCATGTACACCCCTGCCCAATTCCTTAATTAACATATATTTGTTAATCATTTTATTACCAGTCTCAGGATCATAGACTTTAAACATAGTATTCGTTTCTTTAACTTCTATTCTGGGAGTCGTATGACTACGAAGAGAAGATTTACGACTTATTTTTTCATTATAATTTCCAGAAAGTTGTTGGGAAGAGTGTGAATGTGGACCAAAAAAAGAAAAAAGAGATGTAGAAGAGGGTTGAGCAGCTAAAAATTTTTTTGACTCTTTGGTTGGAGTTGAAGGCATAATATCAACATAAAAACTCGATTTTTTATACTATTTGAAGTGTTCTAAGTTGAAGAATAATCCTTGTTAGTAGTGATAAAGATGCAAATGTTTTGAGATCGAGTATCGAGACATACCAGAAAAGTACAGAAAAATCTAGAAATATACAAGGGGAAGTTATATTAACAAAAATCGAACAGAAATGAGTTGTTTCTTGTCTTGCAACGAATACATGCGCTAATTTAATATTTGAAGACTGAGAGTATTTCGATCGCCAAAAATATTGAATCAATTTGTCAAGTTATGCGAGTTGTTAAACCCTACTTTTTCCAGCATAGCGAAAGTTCTATAAGAGATGATGAGGTATTATGATGTTTGATCTGCGATTGGTTAAATTAATCTTAAATTAACGTTAATTGGCTTGCTCTATGATGTAATATAATCATTATTTAAAATTTTCACAGTTATCTTTGGGCTTGACGCTTGTTTGTTTAGTTGTAACAATTTCTCATAACATTGTATGCTATTAATATGCTATTATATTCAAATTTTTTTTTTTTGTCATTGAAAAATAAGGGTGCGACTAACTATAACAATAATGGTGCTAAATCTATCATAATTCACGTGTAGTAAGTAAACTGTGGAAACCTGAGCTTGACCGATATAGCATATTCGTTACTGTATATTTATAATCAATATCGATATTTTTTACTTGTCTCCATCCTTGGATTGTTATGTCATATGTCTAATTCTATGTTTTATACATACGTACAGTACATACGGATTTCCTACTTACAATGTGTATATTTCTATATTAGTTATTTTATGTGACTTTTTTTAAATTTCACCAATTAAATTGGCACAAATAAATTATACTGTATTAGTAACTTGAATTTATTATTATTATATATTATATATATATATATATTATTGTTATGATAATCGCTATCGCTATATCCTAAATTATTTAAAAAAATTCTTAGCTAATGACCTTTCGAACATTTATTTACAAAATGCCAGAGGGTGATTTTAAATAAACACCAACGTGTTGATGCAAATGGCTCAAGACGAACGTGAGCCAAATGACTAAGCTGAGTCGAGCCAGCCGTTTACATCACCACATCAATGTTAAAAACTATCGCTATATGATGTTAATTTTATAATTAGACATATAGTTTTAAAAACAAATTAAAATTTAAAAAACACTTTCGAACAAAATTATCGCTAGTTAAATTTCGAATTAAACAAAATAACATTCTAATAAATTTTTACATATCCAAATTTATTTGTCTAATAAAATTTCATATTTTTGATGATTTCTGACAATACGTACGATTTTTTTCCCTAAAAAATGGACCTTTTCCTACAGAGCTGAAAGTTGTAATTCGAGCCAATTTTTAAAATTATCGATTTTCTCGTCAAAGATTCAGGGCCGAATTATTTTCTTAACTCTGGCCAAATTATCAAAATGAACCCCAAAAAAAGCTCGTCACTATTTAATTTCAAATCTCGTCAAGAATGTAGTTCCTATTCTTCTGGGCCGAACTTCGTAATGCCAGCTCTAAAAAAATGTTCAAAATCTCGACAGGCCCTGTAGCAAAATTTTACTAGTAAAATTACACTAATTAAAAAATTGGGGTGCATCAAAAAGCTCGTCACAAATATAGTTAAATCATTTAGCTAATATTATGTTTTATATAATATTATTAAAAATAAATATTTTTTAATTTTAAAATTAAAATTATATGTAAAATTTTATTATA